TAGACCTTTTTAGAGCCGCCTACTTGTGGTCTGTGTTTAAATTGTAAGCAGAGAAAAATGCTAATTTACTGGGACCTTTTTCCCCTGGCAGCTTGTTTTTGCGGCTATACTTTTCTTGTAAGTAAAACATGTGGATTTGGGAATTTAGGAAGAACCCAAGAAGTGCAGGAGATGAAAAAAATTGTTGATACAGATCATACCGGGTATCAGAATACAGAGAAGAGTGTTAAGTCTTAGTTCATGAAATGGTCTGTGTAGGCAAGGACTCCAGGATGCCTAGCTTTAGGGTCATGCTGAGCTGAAGTTCGTCCTGCCTGTCCTCTGTGGGTTCTTCTGGAATATCTCTGGGGGTTTTGGGCCTGCACCATTTTAGCCGGCTTCCCCATCAGCCAGGATGTGCTCAAAAACATGCACACCAGCCTAAAAAGAGGACTTGGGTTCGAATTAGACATGTTGTCAGTCCCAAGGCAAATAGAGACAGTTTAGGGGTTCTCTTTCCCTCCCACACCCCCTGTTGCTAGTAGGGTGCCTGCCTGTACCTCCTCATCCCCCACACCCAGCACTGGCCACCAGTAAAGCACCCTGTACCCTGCCCCCCATAGGGCACCTCCTGGCTCCCTGTGCCCTGACGGCACCCGGCACCGTCAACACGACGCCAACTGCTTTGCCCCGTAAGCCTCACCTCCTAGAATGAGGTCCGACCATGAACTCCATAGCCTGGGCTCTTCCTGTGCAGGCAGCTGGGTATCGGTTATATAACCGATATGCACGCCAGGTGTGCGCTTATAAATAGAGTAAGTATTAGACAGCAAACAGAAGACATAGGTTTGTGGTAATTATATACCATTTGTTTGCAAATTAAGTAATCTGGTCAGGGAAAGTCATCTCCTGTTTCTTGATGGTATGTGACCTTGGAGGAGGACAGTGGTTTTATGACTGGTGATATTAAAAATGTCTCCATGAGCTTTCCTTTTAGATTAATGTCTGGTTGGGATGTGAACAGTTGCCAGACCAGTCATGAACAGAGAAGGTGGGAGACCACGAATAAAGGTCTGTGTAGCTGGTTCCCAGCGGTGCTGTTTCGTACCGATTAGTGTTAGGAGCCATCCAGGTGTGATCTCACATTTTGTCGAGGATTTCTGGGCGGAGCTCGCTGCCTGTCACCCATAGAATCCAACACTATGGCACCAGCTTTTGAGAAAAGAGAAAAGCTGTCATTTGTGAGTCCACTGGTAAGGCGACAGGAGGCAAGGCTCAGATCTGTCTCCCCATCCAGGGTTCGGGGTGGGGTTTTTAGGGGTTTCAGCACCGGATCTTCCTGGACAGCGGACCCTTCACTTCTCAAAGGTTGCGGTCATGTCTTTGTCCTTCGGTTCTGTGGGGGGAGCAGTTAAAGGTTCACAAGTGTTGCTCGAAAGTGGTGTATCCAAGGTTTAAACTCTGGCTCCAAAGGCCTTGTTAGAAACAGGATAGGACCAGTGCGAGCTGGTTCTGAGGTTACGAGGAGATGTAGGGTGGGCAGGGACATCCGGGACCTCTGAGTCCTTACTGGCCCCTCCAGGAGAACCCTCTGCACACAGAGGCCACCAGCCTGCTGCTCCCCAGACACCTAGAACTTTGCGTAGAGTTTTGGACTTGGAAAGTACTCTTTTGGCACAGTGACCCAGACCAGGGAAAAGGAAGAAAATACATTTGAGGATGTGGCTTGGACATTTTGAGTCCCTCCTGAAAAATGCTGGCCCACTGAGACATGGGACCCAGGACACCTCTTTTTCTGGACGCCCTTGAGAAGTTCCTGAAGGGACAGCCTGTGGGCAGTGAGCTCTTTCAAGGTGGGTGCTGGGTGCATCTCTGCATAACAGCCCCCCTTCCTGGGAGAGCTTTGCTGGCCTTGTCCCCAGGCCGGCCAGGACTCCTCTGGGTGATGTCCCCCTGCGCGGTGACCTCTTTGGACATGTTCTTGTCTCTATGCCTCATCTTTTACCGCCATCAAGGTGAGTTTTTTTCAGGTCGACCTTCCAATTCCCAAATTTTCTTTTCAACCTTCTAATCTCTGCTAACCTCTCTTTTGAGTGTTTAATTTCAACAATCGTGGTTTTCATTGTCAAACATTCTATGGGGCTATTTTTCAAATCTGCGACCTTCCTTTTTTTTTAATTGCAACTTTTACTTTACAATTTCACAGTTATTTGACATTCTGTTCGAGGACTTTCCAGTGTCTGACATTCTGTCATTGTCGGTTCTGCTGGTTCTTTTTTTGGTGGGTTTTTCCTTGGTTTTAGGAGATTTTTGAATGGTGAGCTCATATTTGCGTGGGCTCATATTTCAGAACTCCCACGGGCCTCCGTTGGGCTGCTTTCTCCCCAGAAGGACTTGTGTTGTGGCTGCCTGGCCCTGGGCATCTCTGAGTGAGTAGCCTGCCTGCGGTGACGCTCAGCCCAGGCCCCACCCCGCAGCTCTCGCATTTTGTTGCTGACTGCCCTGCGTTCCCTTCCGCTCTCTTCTCTCAGCGACTCCCCTTATTTCTTTGGGATCAGCAGGGTATTAAAAAGCATGTTGGTTACTGTTTTTACTTCACAGTTTTTGTATCGATCTAAAACTGCCCTTAAAGGTAAAGTATATTTTGAAAGAGCACTCTTGTTGAGCTCTGCCTGAGTCTGCTTGCTCTGTGCTGAGGGCCCCACAGGCTGCAGGCTGCAGCCCCCGCCAGTAGACGCGCCGAGCCCGCCCCTCTGTGGGCGCCCTGCTCTCAGCCACCACCTTCTTCCGTCTCTGCGGCTCCAGCAGCGCCCCTCCGCCCCTCCGTCCTGGGTCTCGCTTCGCTTCATCTTGGGGGTGTGTGTAGAGCTTCTTAGAGGACTTTGTTCCGTCTGCTAAAAGCCTGAGAACTTAGTGTTAATCATCATTGTGACACAAAGTGAATCATGTCCTTCATAGTGATGAAGCTTACGTTTTATGACAAATTTCTCAGATGATTATTATTGACAGTATTTCTGGTTTTGTGTATGGCCTTGCAGATTGTCTTCTCATAATCTCGGAATAACTTGCCTTTGATACTGTTTAATGTGTAACTTGACGGGAGGTGACTTAGGTGAGTGTGGGGGAAGGACAGCTGTCCACGGGCCTTGGTCAGCCCTGGGAAGGAGGCCCGCCCGCCTCTGGGGCGGGAGCAAGCCCCTCTCGGCTGAGGGCCGATGCCCAGGGACTGGCTGGTGGGGCCGCTCCTCTGCCTGATGTGTGGAAGATTACCGTGTGAAAACTGGACATACAACAGTACGTTTCTACTATGGAAAACGCATTGATAAGGTGCCAGGACAGTTTCAGAATATCTCTGACTGGGGGCTCATGATGGTTCCAAACAGTGACCGCCTGTCAGGAAGTGGCTTCTTCTCACTGTCCGAGGTCAGACCTTCTCTTTCCTTAGTTTGGCTCCCTGGACTTCAGGTGTAAGTCCCACCAGGCGACAGAGGCTGTGATGGGGAGGGGCACTCGCCGGGAGCCTGGCCCGCCAGGCAGACCTCCTGGCTCGCGCCTTTGGCTTTTGGCCTGAGGGGCCTTCAACATGACCTCCGCTTGTTGGGGGAGGCCCATGATCAGGGAAGGGCGCCGTGTGTTGTCACGCTGAGGAAGCCCGAGTTGTGGTCAGCCAGCTTGTCTGGGTGCCCTTTTTGTCCCTCCCTGTGTCACCTGTGCCTTCGGCAAAGCCTTCCCCACACCCTGCAGTCGGTCTCACCTCCCTCTGCAGAGAGGCTGCGGGTCCATTTTCCAGCTGGAGCCCTGGGGCTCTGCGGCCAGGCCCGAGCCCTGCGGAGGTGGCCCTCCATGGCCACTGAGAAGCGCATCTGTTTACCCTTACTTCGGAGCTGGGAGGGTCCCGTGCCCCCGGTTTCCTGACCTTAGAGCCTACGCCAGAGGCCTGCTGGAGCCCGCTCCCCTTCAAGCTCCTCCGTCCTTCCCGCCTTGGCTGCTTATGGCCCCTGGTGTCTGTACCACCCAGATCTCATCCTTCCTGAGCCCTGGGTCCCGCCCCTTTCCCCACTCCCCGGACCCTTCTCCCTGCACATGTCTGGGTGGAAGTGACCTACCCCCCTCGGGCGGAAGGCTGAGAGCTGTCTGACCTGCAGGTGCGTCCCAGACAGGCTTTCTCAGACTCACTCTCCCCCGCCCCCAACTACTTGTAGCTCTTGGAGCTCCGACTGCCCGGGACCTCCCTCCGTAGCCTGCGCCTCCCGGTACCGGCCTGCATGGCGTCTTGTAGGGCGTGTTTGTTCTTGCCCTGGTGCCTCTGAGCCAGTCACCCTCCCCCCACCAGTCTCTCATCCTCTTCCAGACGCCCTCCTTGGAAACTTCCCCCACCTGCCTGCTGTGGCCCCTCCTGCCCCATTTGGTGGCGACTGGGCCTGGTGGTCCAGGGCACTGGTGGGCTGACCCCTGCTCTGCCATCTCCAGGGAGCCGTTTGACATCTCTGAGCCTGGGTTCTGCCCTGTAGAGTGGAGGTGAGACCAGTTAGCCTGGTGCTCAGGGCGTGAGCGCCGAGTGGGGTGTGACATGCCCAGGGCAGTGCTGGCACTGGGCTCTGCCAACTTGCAAGCCAGCGGCACTGAACGGACTCTGCAGGCCAACTGCCTCCCTGGTGCTGTGTGTGCCCTCCACACTGCAGCCCTGGGCTGATGAGATTGAAACGTGTGTGTAGACTTGTCCTCAGTGAGGCTGTGACTGAGGCTGTGATCTCAAACATGGTGGGATTTGTTCTTTTCCAGTGAAAATGACAATGACTTCCGCACCGTCCTGTTGTGGCTCATCAGCTTGGGTGGAGTTCTCGCAGGAAGTGGGAGCGTAACTCTTGACTCACTGAGGAGTCTGGTTTTCCTGGGACACCGGCACGGAGAGCCAGAGCCTTCCACGGAAGCTCCCCGTTTTGTTCCTCAGATGGACATGCTGTTCCCTGACTTTTGTCATGAGGCTTAATTAACTCATGTCTCTCTCTCTTTTCTTTCAGTCTGCAACTGTATCTGATGGCGGTAAGTCACAATTTCTGATGTATATTTTTTATTATTTTTAATGAAGTTTTCAAATTGTGAAAGTGTATTTGCAATTGACTCACGCAGAAAAGGGGATTTCTTTGCCATACCCTGTCCCCTTGGGGGTGGGTTTTGCCTGGGCTGGTTTGGGGAACGTTCCGTGGCTCCCAGGTGGCTGCGACATGTGTGTGGAAGCCGCTCACTGCAGAGACGTGTCATGAACCTGAATTTCAGCGTGACAGAACAGCTGCGGCCAGCGAAGGTGGGGCCGCACATCCGGCCGCACACCTGCGCCTGACAAGTCAGAGCCTGCTGTCCGCTCTTGTATAACCAGCAAGGGAAGAGCTCAGAGCTCTTGCTGAATTTGAGCAATTCTGGAAATTCGGGTGACACTCTCAGTTGCTAAATTTCCCTTTCTGAGGAAAAGTGTTGTAGATGAATTGAGAGTTGTGGGGTGATGAGGAATCAAAAGTTTTCTGTCTTCAAATAATTTTGTGCTTGGGAATTCTTTTACTGGGACTGATCCAAAAAGGAAATGGCCAGAGATGTCTTATTTCACTTAAGATTTATCTGATGTAATACCGATCACCTTAGTTCCATGATTTTCTAAAACTCTCCAAGGTGATTTGGCGAGTTTCTTCCAGATGTTCCTTGCTTCCTGTGATACTCATAAAAGTGCCTATGCTCACAGGCTGGTTTTTTTTTTCTCACATGATTTTAATTAATCTAGTCTGTCTTTTGAGAGTTGAATTTTAAAATTTATCCAAAGGTACTAGCACTTGGTTTTCATTTATATGTTGGCTTTGGGTGTGAAGTCCCGATGACAACCAAGGCTGTCACAGCAGGGCACACGATGAGGCGGGAGGCTGCCTCTTACTGTAAGTTCCAGGGAAGCGAAGTGCAGTTCTCCTGGGGCTGTGTTGCCACACACCGTGTCCCGTACCGCTGGCGTCACCACGGCCTGAGAAAGGCTTGCTTTACAGGGAGGGATGGAGCCTGGAGCCCTGCGGGGCTCGGAAGCTGAGACAGGAGGCTCTGATGCTTGTGTTTGGGCATTTATTTTTTAATAAAAGGAATTATGTTACCTATTTTATGCACAAGGATAGCCATGTCATTTAATCTCTTTTAAGCTGGGAGTGGGAATAACTTCCTTAAAAAGAAATAGGACCTGTCACCAAATCCAGGATAAAAGTGAATAGTTTTTATAAGATTCTGTTCACATTTACCCTTTCTGCTGTGCTCTAATTTCTCCTTTCTGGTAAAAGACTCATTGTCTGTAGGAAATGTATCAATTTGAGAAGTTTATTTAATGTTCAGTTTAATCACGAATATGAAGTTTTATTCACCTCTGAAGTTTTCTTCTGTCCGCAGGAGATGCGAGAACCTCAGGGAGTTTTATTATAGAGTCAGTTTTGTAGTTTTTTACAAAGCCAAACTTCCCGAGTGTAGGAAGTCCTGACTCACAGCCCTGATGTCCTTTCTAAGGAAGTGGTGCCCTGGCTGGTGGCAGCGGTTCCCCCTCCCCTGCGGGGGCTTTCCACCCCCTGGGCCCGCCTTCACCTTTGCTTGTGCACTTGAGACCCTGGTGCCACCAGGGGTGAGGGGAGTTGGGGGGTAGGGGGTGGGGAGGTGGGAGAGACTGGAGTCGGGGGAGGCCACTATTTGATGAGCATGCCCTGAATTTTAGGAACTGCACCTGACAGCTTACATGTGCTTTATTTTTTTTTCATGTTATTATTATTTTTTGATCTTCAATTTCTTTTCTGATTATAAGAAGAAAAAGTTCTCTCATTTAATCTGCATGTTAGTTCTAGGAGGCATAATACTATATTCTGCCATCTTTACTGGTAAAGACACTGAGGCAGAAACAGGACAAGTCCAACATGGCCATGTAGACACCAAGTGAAGTGGCTGGACTCAGACTCTGAGGGCTGCTGGCAGCAGAGCCACGGAGGGGCCCCTGGCTGCCGAGGCTCATGTGCTCTGGCTTCCCACCCTGTCTCCCCGAAAGTCCCAGCTCCAGCCCACATTCTGGGGATGGGGGAAAGACCCCATCCCACCCGCCCTCCCCAGCTGTAGACAGGCGCTCGTTGAGAGGATCTGATCAGAAACTCGGGATGTGTTTCCACACCGAGAGGTTTTTGTCCAAGGTGAGCAGCAGATTCAGCTCGCTGAGGGGCCTGGGCCCTCCAGCAGCCGTGTCTGTGGGAAAACACCCAGCTCCACGCGGTGACTCAGGAGCCTGCTTGGAAAGCAAGCTGCTCGCACAGTGGGATGGTCTCGTCACCCAGCCTCACGGTGGCTGCAAGCACCCCGCTCACTCAGAAACGTTTGTGTGCAATCACCCTTGTCAGGGAGACCGTTTGGACTTCTCACACGTTATTCTGTAATGTATGTGCTCACCGTTTTGTGGCTTTATTTTAAGGAAGTTGGACAATGCTATTCTTGCCATCCTTGAGGTGTGTTTTTCCACTTTCTCAGAAGGAGAGGGGCTCGTAATGACTGTTCCCTGTAGACAAAGGCTGCCTGTGAAGGAAGGAGTAGCGGTCAGTCTCTGTGGAGGGCAAGCCAGGGCCCGGGCTGAGGTCCAGGTAGGCAGGTTCCGCCTCGAGAAAAGGAAGAACATTCCCGCATTAGAGAGAGGCTTAAAGCTGTAACGCTCTGCCTGTGTGAAGCTGCTCAGACACTTGTTCACACAGAAGGCCCCAGCGTTCAAACACAAGTGTGAGGGCGCTCGGCAGTGGCTGGGAGGAAGTGGGTGAGACCTTCCAGTGCTGATGGGAGAGTCCAGCTCTCGGATCCCGGCTTCTAGTGGAACAGACAGAGTTCATGCTCGTATTTATCTCTTTTTCAACTTCACCCTGTATAAGCAGCTTTGCCAGCGTGCTCATTCCAACGCACACGTCCTCGAAAGGTCGAGTGTTTTCTGCCATTACTGGCGATGACTTTGGAAGAACTTAAGGCTGTCAGGGAGCATTCACACAGATGCCCACACCCACAGGCACATGTCGGGCTGTGACCACGGGAAAGTCTGGCTTCTGGGTGTGTGACACGTCCACGCAACACCTCCACTTTGGCTGCTTCATAAACATGCCAACTTAACTTGTCCAACCTCACTCTCGGCTTTCCACTTCAAGTGTGCTGGTCCCCGAGTCTCCCAGTCCCCATGGGGGCACGTCTGTGACGGTCTTTTTGACCTTCCTCAGTCTCCACCTTCTGCCACATAGCCCCCACGAGGCTACAGCTGTCTCCCCCACTCCCTTCTCCTGAACTCCTGCCCCTTTTCACGTGGCTCCCCACCTAACACCTACCTGGGCACCACTCTCGCCTGCTCAGAGCTGTCCTTGGGGCTGTGTCAGCACAGTCTCGTGCCTCACCAGGCCACAGCCTCCCACCCTGGTCTCCCATGGCCCCTCAAAGAAGCCTGCACTGACCACCAGCCCTTATTCTCAGCATCAGCCCAGACTTCATTTCCTTCCAACACAGCTGACAAGACCTTCATTTTAATTATTTGTCTGTGTCATTGGTCTTGTATGCTCCCCCCACCCACTAGAAAGTGACCTCCACGAGGCAGCTTCAGGGTTGTCCTCAGTGCCCTGCACAGCGGGTGGTACGATTGAATTAAGGCATTTGAACATGCGCAGACAGAAGCCAGAGCCTGAGGGGAAGACCTGGGTTAGGACAGTGGCTTGTCAAGTTTTTCCTTTTTAGTGAAACCGTCTCAAAAAACAAGCCAACAGCTTAGTAGCATCCCATTCGATAAAACACAGAAGCGGAACTGTCTGGTTGAGTCGCGGGCTGGGCCAGCCTCCCTGGCGCTGCCTCCGCCCCAGGGCCCGAGGCCTCGCAGACCCACTCGGCCTCTTCTTCCAGTGGCAGCCAGGGTCCCCGGCTAGCGGGGCAGCGTCTTCTGTCTCCTGCAAGCTGCCGCTTTCTGCCACTTCTTCCCTAAGGCAAATCATTTTGAAGTAGATGGTAAACTCCATGCTGTAAACCAGGGGTGTCAAACTGGCGGCCTGCGGGCCGCATGCAGTCCTCGAGGTAATTTTTTGTGGCCCGCGATGCTCTGAAATAAAATGAAAATAGAAAAAATTGTTATGAAGAAAATAGCGCTTAGGGGAGATCGAGGCAATACCTACCATACACACAATTCCCTCGTTAACCTTTTAACTACTGAAGACGAGTATACACGTGGCCCAGTGCCTTTCCTGGGGGCCTGTGGGCGTGTATAAACGCGCTGACTCAGTTCCGGCGACGTTTGGAAGCCATGTGTCTGCCACTCTCAGTGTCACGTAATGTAAACAGATCCCAATAGCGAAAAGGTTAAAAAGAGCACTCGGGTAAAAAAGAGTAATTTTAGTTTTATAAATACATTAAATAAAATAAATGTTTAAATAAAAGCAATTATATAGTGTTTTAATTATCCTATCTGTATTCCTGAATCCTCACTTCAGAATATAAATTTAACAAAATTTGTAAACGTGATGTGGCCCGCGTGACTCTTGCCTGTTGCACCAAATAGCCCGTGTTTTAATTGAGTTTGACACCCCTGCTGTAAACTAACAAGCAATAATTTCTAATATTTCTGATTATTGTTTTAACATAAACTTGAACCTTTTTGACATCAGAAGTAATATCCGAGAAAAAGACATGCATTCAATTGAAGAATGTTTGTTTTCTGAATGGAGATGGTCTTTGATTTTAAATCTCCTCTCTACCCTGCTTTTCTCAGTCTGCCCCTTTTCAATGGAGTGCAACTTATATCAAGTGATAGGGCGACGGTGGCTGGTGGGTGTGCCCTCAGGGGCTGGCAGGTTAGGAAGTGGCAGGGAAGGCAGGTTCAGTGGAGCTCCCTGTCACCTGGCAGCTGGGGAGCCCTGACTGGCAGAGCCCATGGAGCTGCACTGGGTCTCATCCGGCCTGGAACACTGACCTTGACCTTGTAAACTCGGGGCCGCGCCTGACCCAGCTCAGTAGCGGGGAGACTTGCCGCTTGCTAG